GGGGGTCAAAATACATAAATCAGATACTGATGAGACTGAGACGGAAGTTGTAAATCAGAGTAAGAAACCCGAGGATGGTGTGAGACGCTTTTCTGAAACTGGGCGATGGCGCGGCGGGGGCGGGGGAGTATCCATTTGTTTAAGACTCCAAGGAATTGCCCCATCGTGTCCTTCTGTTAACGGTACGTAATCGACATCGACAGGCGGTACGTATAGTCACCATTGCGCTTTTAAGAATTATAAGTGTATCATAATTTTCCTCCGCGTGCCAATACTCTTGTATAACTCATTCCGCCTCACCCAAAATCCCGGGCTAGCAAGAAATCGATAGTTCCATCCATCATACGTTGTAACTGTGAATATACACACTAGGCACCGCCACAAATCTGAAGTAGTAATTATTATTTATTGTGGTTTAAAATAATATACACAAAAGTCAGACACGAAACTAGCCTCAACTTCGAGATGCTAACGCCTGCCCTCAGCAATATTTCAGAAAGAAAACAAGTTATAAGAACAACTCAGAATATATACTTTTCTCCAGATGCTTCCATCTAGAGGCTACGCAGAAGTTAACACGCATTATATGAATAAATGAGTAATTACACAACTTAGATTCGCTATCAGAACGTTTAAATCGCCATGTTCCTAATTTTTAACACACGAACAAATGTTTCACACAGAAGACGTACACATGTTTATGACTTATCTCCACACGAAATATTACAGGTCCTGCCTCCTTATCTGTCATTAAAACCAATTTTGAATACAGATTTACAGCGGTTGGCATGCTATTGCTTTTTACATTATACGAAAATAAGGTTTTAGTAAATGCTGCATATTTTTCACATCCCTACTTTAAGTTGTGTTAGTGTCGTTCCCATTTCAGAAGTTTGCACAACTGCTATTTTAATATTATCGATAATTAAAAATTACAAAACTCGCGTCGAGTCAAAATGCATTACATTCACCGACTCATTAAAAATATAAACATTTATACACACATAGGAATAGCATACCACAGAAAAGTATTTCTTGTATATAATGACATTAGGATAAAATGAATAATATCCCAATTAAGTGTCACTACAGAAATAGCGTTCATTCTTACAAACATTCTTTGCCTTTTTCTGTATCCAGATAATCATATATAAAAGTTAATCAGAAATACTACTTTGTACTGAGTCATAGATTATGAAAAATCTGATAAAAGGTTATAGAGACAAAACTGTATTCGTTAAATACAATTTCAAACAAAAGTTAATATAGCCTCCGTTTAATTTGCGGTACCAATTTTTAAAACGATCAACCAGTGTTTGAAAAAATGTATATGGCTTTAGACAAGAGTTAGTAAATTATATATTTAATAAATCAGTCAATTATCTTGTCAGTCTGTCAATTATTTAAATCAGTTTTACACTTGTTACACAAAAATTAATTGGTTTTTAATGACCCACTGCAGAGAGAAAGTTAAATTCCCCGACTGCAGCGCCGCTCTGGATACAGACACAACTGCCCAGGAAACAAAATGGTTTGTAATTGAAATGTAGGCTAATCTTTCAAGTGCTGAAGCCATATGGAACACGATAATATAGTGCTTATCAATACGAACGAATCGTTTAAAACGCGCAATGTTTAACAAAAGGCAACATTACTGTCCATCTGTTCCACAATCCTATAGAACAGCTGTATTTCCTTTACAAATTTACTTTACGACACTCTATCAACTGCTGCGGTTATGTAATGTAGCGATCGAGAGGAACATAATACAATGTTTGGTTTAGCTGTTTCGGTCGGTTTAATATTTTCATGGATTGACAAGTTTCGTTTTGATCAACGAGTCTGAATTCGACTCGACTACGCCGTGTTCCCGGAATGTCAACATACCAACCAAACAGGAAAGCGTTCCAATTCATATTAACTGAACCTAAATGTCGGTAATATTATTTCATCCACCTAAGGTTTTTCCTCCGGGGGCTTCCCCGGTTTCTCTGTGGCATCCCAACAATTACTCCATTCACACTCACACAGAAGAAGGCAATGGCAAACCCCTTCTGGATCATCTGCCAAGAACGTATATGAACAGGTCCCAGTCCGAGAAAAGGATGGAAGGATCCTGTTCATATGGACCTGTCGTCAGACAGAACACTTAATAAATAATAAAATAAGGTTGAACACTAAAATGAACAATGACCTAAACTCAAAACTATTTGAAAGCTATTCAAAAACATGTTAACATAAAACTCGGCTTATGGAGAAATACCGCTATTATCGGTTTTCAAATAAATAGCAGCTGCAGTCTTCAATTTAGAGAAACAATTTATTTTATCGTCCACGTTTGTTTACGCAGCCTTGAACAAAGACATGAACAGCCAATGCACCCCGCAATAATAAAAAGGTTGCTGATCCCTGCGGTACTAGACCATATTATGTACCAACAACGTCGTATTTCAAAAAGGTTCAGGTTATGCAATGTGCATATGCATATCTTGATGTGGTAACACGTCTCCAATATATCAGGCTTGTCATAATATTTTCATTGCCCTCAGTAATAATCAATCAACAAAAATGAAAATCGATGACAAAGCCTGATATCTTAATGGCTTTTATTCATGACACACTTTCCAAATGAAAACGGAACTGCAATATCGTTATCCACGTTGTAATCCTTTGTCTCTATAAAAGAGGGGAAATCAGTTAATCCACTAACTCTCTGGGGATTTGAGGAGAACTAAAATGATTTCATCACCAATACCAATTTTAATTGTGTGGTCAGTAATATGTATACTCTCGCCAACTTGATAAAGCCACGGGATTCCGCGTCATTTCACGCTTACAAAAATACATTCCACATTCCAAGGATAATACAGAAATGTAATTCAACACAAATTTGGTACGACCTAAAAAATTAAGCGCCTGAAACAAATTGAAAACTTTTGTAATAGGAGTGAAACGATTTCTTCTTTTCTTTTTTTAGTATACGTTTATCAAACATGTTAATTTCGGTTTTGAATCGTTCATTGTACTACGTTCATTTAGACTGTTGTAATTTCAAATCTACTGTCGACAAAATCAACCAAGAACAAACATATACTGCACAGTTGCACGTGATCTAGTCTCCCGTCCCTTTAAAAAAATACATTACAGAATGGGACGTTTTTATTCCGATCCCTTGTTCACAGGCTGAAAACCTCGATATGATACAGTTTCATGATATATAGGCCTTAGCCGTCTTATGGGACCAAAGAGTAACAGAAAATTTCAACGTTATTGCCACCTCACAGAGACACGCATTCGCTCTTATTATCATGTTCGCTCTTCATTGTATTAACAACGAATTAAAGGAATTTGTGTAAAAAGAATGTAGGTCGAAAAATCCCGGAAAAATATGTTTCCTACTACCCGATTTTGCCAACTACATAGGACTTCCTGTAAATAAACATAGCATACATAAACGCAGTTTCATTGCAGGGTTTTAACCCTATTGTTCTTTCTCACAAGTTTGTGCATGTAATCCTTTCTGCAATAAGCCCTTTCAATAACGTGATTTGTAACTGAAGTTGTACCAATTTAAAAGATTAGTGTTAATATAAGGTTTAGATATCAGTTCATCTGGACAGGTCAAGTGTTTCTTTATCATTTCGTTTGGATTATTCAGGATATTACAGTAAAAATGTTTTTGTCAGTTTCAATTAATGACTTGCATTTGTAAAATGTGCACGCTACACTGATTATCGCCCTGATGACGGAGGCAGCATGACCTCTGAAACGCTGGTTAACATCGACCAGACTACACAGCGCAACAACCCAGAAGACAGAAATCTTCATACTCTGATGACGGAGGCAGTATGACCTCTGAAACGTTGATAAACATCTACCAGACTACACGGGGCAATAACCCAGAAGACAGAAATCTTCATACTCTGATGACGGAGGCAGTATGACCTCTGAAACGTTGATAAACATCTACCAGACTACACGGGGCAATAACCCAGAAGACAGAAATCTTCACACGGTGATGTGCTTCCACTGTCTGTCGCTAGTCGCCCGTGAGAACACGATTTCAACTAAATACTACAAAAACTGTAACATTCTTACCTGCATATGTCTTCTGTTTTTCGCAGGCCTCCTTAAGAAACACACAGCGCCACGGCGAGAAAGTACTGCGGGGGGAACTGGAATGTCGAGTGGAAGCAAAGGAAGCGTCATGACGTCACAGTGACCTGTAAAAAAGAAAACAGCTAACAAGAGACAGAAACAACCCGTTTCTTGCACCAAGTAAGAGGCCGAAACTTCCAGCCCACAGTAAATTAATAATCTGAAGAAGATGGCATGATGGTACTGCTAATAGTCTGGATCATAAAAGTGCACTACGTGTATATGTTTGTATCCACCCACCTATTCATCCATCCATCCATCCGCAGAACAACACTTCACAAGACGTGACAGCTTGTTTAATAACACTGAAAAACGGAGAGCGTAAGAACACGCAGCTGATAACGGCAACTGCTGCAGTCAATGGCTGGCCCAACTATCCCACGTACTTCGGCGGATTAGGTGCATGTGCACAGAAAGTGACACGTCAGTCAGACCTGCGATAAGCTCGCCGTTGTCCGCTAACGCGTTTAAGACGTATGAAGAGAATGAAGGAACAGTTTCGCGCGTTCCTAACCTCGGAACTGGAAGCTTCATCCTCCGGCCACAGAAAACAGCCCTCAATCAATACCCAGTGGCTATTGCACTTTTATTATGCACTGTCACTCAGAGAAAACTGAACACCTTCGAGGCTTTGTTACACACAAGAAGAAGAAGAAGAAGAAGAAGAAGCTTCCACACTGACCCACTTTTCCTTGAGCGGACGACAGTTACCCAGTGGCGAAAAATTTCTCTGTTGTTATGGAACCTGGAGGTTCACCATCTTTCTCACAAAATACTGAAATTAGAAGTCTTCAGCCAGCTGAATCCAATCTAAACCCTCGTACCCTATGTATTTAAAATTCATTTTAACACGGAACATCATTTAATATTTTAAATATTTTAAATGTTAATTATTGTAATATTTTAATATTTAATAAGAAGTTATTGTGATTAGACGGACAAGATTTAATATATACTTATTATATCACAATATGACGCAACTTTACCATCTTACGTTCTGTATACTTAAAAGTTTCTATTCACAATATTGTGCACCTTTCCTGATATTATGTACGTGGCATTTATAAAAAAGGTAATTATAATAAATGCAATGGCAGTCCGCACACTCTTATTTGAAATGGATTTCTACATTTGCATAATGAAAATACAGAGTGAGATTAGAGCAAAAGAAAATAATCCGCGGGTTTTGAAAGCTAGAAATTAGTCTTACTGAAAACGGCCGTGAAGATTTGAAACTGATTGTGACTCAGGGTTAAGGTCATAAGGCGGTTCTTAGGAACTCTGAAATCAACATTCGAAATCCAAAGAAGGCGAAAAATGTCTGGATTAAGATACTCTAAAGTTTTGTGACAGACATTAATGAAACTATTATGTTGCACATTGTCCATTGCATAACGTAGGCCCATATTTGATATAGTCCCGACGTTTCGGTTCTGTTCTCATCTTCAGACGATTGGTAATCATTATAATGACAGTTTTTGTATTACTCTTTAATTTAATATTAGTAGCGACGGTTGGGATCTAAGCCATTACCTTTTGAACACTAGACCAATACGGTAACCACTAAAATTCCTTAGCTAAGTGTAGAACTAAACCAAACCTTGCACCATGAGCACGGTTTAGTTATATTTGTTAGTCCGTCACTCAATCAGGCAATTAGATATTTAGCAATTTAGTTTGTTAGTTTGACTTATCTTAATCAATCTTACGGCTTCTTGATCAGTCACGATTAAGTGAGCTTGTCTTACGTTCCGGTGTGTATAAGATCATTGCACGTAGATAATGCAGGCCACTATTTTGTCATCCAAATTAAATTTAGATCGTCCCTCAGTGAGGTGTCAGGAATAGAACTGAATACTGCGACAGTTGGACCGGGCGAAAACGCTAGGTCGCAGCTCGAAAAAACACCACATCAACAAACATTACACGCGTTCGCAGTTGAGGATGCGTTTTAGGGTTCAAGAGAATTAAGCCTTGTAATTTCAACACTTTTATGGCACGGCCTTGGATCACTAGAACACTGGGATTCTTCTTCTTCTATGGCGCAACAGCTCGAAGTCGAGCCTTGGCCTCCTCTGATGTGGGAGGTTTCTCTGTCTTTGAAGTGTGCATTTATGAGTAGTGAGTGACAAGCCCACACTGCCTCTGCACAACTTCTTCTCAATCCTGATTTTGTCTACTAGAGCCATCTAGCAGTGAATCAGGAGAGACTTGGGTGAGAAATGGCCGCTGAATTTTGCTTTCGAAACACCTCTTTTCATGCTCTTAAGAGAACACTAGGATTGAGGATTCGAATCTCGCATATGAAGTCGCGGTTGAGTGGCAAACGATCCTTTTCGTATTTGGAAGATATCAAAGGGCGATTATCCTGACTGGAATCTTCAGTTACATCACGCGAACGTTGCGGTAGTAACTGAAAATAGGCTCTGAAAGCTACCATCCACATCCTTTCACAATACGTTATTCATTATCATCTTCCCATTAGAGGCTACAAAATTCTAACCTAACCACGGAGCAGACTTCTTCAGGAACTCATATTTGCCCTGCTACTCAAGAAATTTCTTATAGCATTTATGCCATCCCAAGTTCCATTACAATATTCAGAGTCTGAACTCTACACTGAACCAGATAATACCCAGTTCACACACTCACAACCTAACAATAATGTCGTTAAATAATCAAAGAAGGGTGTTACATATACGAAAATATTTGTTTTAAATCTTGTCAGTCTAATCACAATAAAATTTCTATTAAATATTAAAATATTACTATAATTAACATTTAAATATTTAAAATATATTAAATGATGTTCTCATCGAAATGTTCGATGAGAACATTTAATATTTAATAGAAATTTTATTGTGATTAGACTGACAAGATTTAAAACAAATATATATTTATCACAATATGACGCAACTTTATCATCTCATATACGAAAATATTCAACAAGTGACAATTACTAACTACACAGTTTACAGTGTGGAGAGTTCACACCGGAATGGCCGCGATATCGTTTTAAAACTTATCGCACATTGATGTGCGATACGCGCAGGGCGATATAAACATTTTTGCTGAGTCTCCGAGTGACACACATGGACTTATCGTTAACCCAAATAAGAGCGTTATGGTGAAAGGGGTTTGAAGATGGCTGTCTGGTAGAAGTTACCGACCTTACA